CTCTGCCTGCCTCTCTGCCTACTTGTGATCTCTGTCTGTGAAATAAATGAGTAAAATCTTAGGAAAAAGAAATTTTAAAAAATTGTAGTGTCTCTAATCATCTCTAGAATTCTGAATTTAGAAGGAGTACAGCATAACAGGTACATGTCTGACTCAGAGACAAGGACACCTAGCCATGCCAGTAACCTTTGGCAAACCACTATATCTCTTTGAGTCTCCGTGTCTACATCTCTTTTTTTTTTTTTTAAGATTTTATTTATTTATTTGACAGAGATCACAAGTAGGTAGAGAGGCAGGCAGAGAGAGAGAGGAGGAAGCAGGCTTCCTGCTGAGCAGAGAGCCCGATGTGGGGCTCGATCCCAGGACCCTGGGATCATGACCTGAGCCGAAGGCAGAGGCTTTAACCACTGAGCCACCCAAGCACCCTTCTACATCTCTTAAATAGAGGAGAGTAGTATTTCTCTCACAGGATCATCGCGGGAACAAAATGAGAGAGCATATATAAAACATTTGCATCACGACTGCCCTATATTAGGTGCACAGTAAAAGGGAGATGTAATACTCAAACATCTTGTCTCCTGGGCCACTCATCCTATTGTAGGAGAACTGGGTTAGGGCTGATGAGATTTGAAGTAATCCCAGGACATGGAGAAGACCTAAATCTTGTATCAGTTTTTATTCATCCTTAAGTATCCTAAGGAAGTTACTTTTTATCTTTACTCTGATCTCCTTCCTCTTTGGGGAACTTCCTTTACTCCCTCCTGTCTTGAGGATGGATAGAGTTGGTTGTGGGATTGGGCAGAGATGAAAGGAGTAATTGACAGAGGTGAGGAGTCTTGTTCGTTAGGGGTCTGACAGCATTATAATAGGAAAGAAGGTGTCTTAGTCTGTTTGGGCTGCTTTAACAGACTACCATAGACTAGGTGGCTTATATTTATAAATATTTATATTTATATTTATAAATATATTTATAAAAATAAACAAGTTTATTTTTCCCAGTGGAGGCTGAAGTCTAACATCAAGGCGCCAGCAGATTCAGTGTCTGGTGAGAGCCCATTTCGGGTTGATAGATAGCTGTCTGCTCGCTGTACCCTCACATGGCAGAGGGGTTGAGGGATCTCTCTCAGGCCTGTTTTATGTGGGCACTAATCCCATTCATGAAGGTTCCATCTTAATAACCTCACATATTTGAAACATATGTATTTGGAAGAGGGTTGGGGGAGGAAGGACACAAATACTCAGTCTATAGTAGAAAGGGATTTTTTTTTCCTTAACAGATGCAAGCATGACCCAAATTACAATGAAATAAATATGCTAAGGTTACTGAGTTATATGCCTGGATAGTTGAATTCACTTCTATAAAATCAGTTGACGAGAGTTAACATTCTCATGTCTAAGTATTCACTTAAACATAGTATTAAAAAGATAAAACCACAAAAATGTGCTTTTCTTGGTCAAAATTATCCCAAAGCATACACAATGGGCATATACAATTGAAGGATATTTAATGAATCTGGGTTGAGATATTTCATGAGCTTTCCATTGAATCACTTTCATTTTCAATCAAGACCAGACATGGGTATGCATTTATGTCTGTATGGTTAGAGAGGTGAACAAATTATTGTCTTCTGATTCTGCAGAAGACAATACTTGTCCTGCCATCCCCCAACACAGGCATCAGTCACCGTATCTTCTGCCATGTGACTCTGGATTTTATATCAGGCTCTCTTCCAGGAGACATCTGGTGGCATATTGTCCACTCTGGCTTTGAACGTTTTATTCTTGAAGCATTAATTCTTTAGGAACTAGTCATCCTCACCTATGTAGCAGAGGGAATGGTTAGGAATAAAGATTGCTAAGAATCCGGGACTTGGGCTCTTCTGATCTAGCCCTGACCCTAACTAGCTGAGCAAGTCCCAGCCCATGGGGAAGTGCCTTCTCTTAAGAGGAGTTCAATCGATGGTTTTGCATCCCCTTTTGACATCACATTATTTATCTGTAAACAGAAGAGGTTGGAAAAGATGATCTCGGAGGACCTTCCAAGCTCTAAATTCTGTGATTATATTCTAAATGTTAGGACACCATGGCACTTACTGGCATCAGCATTAATGAAATTACTCATCATTTATCTTATACAGAGAAAGCACACACCAAGAGTTACAGACCAGCCAAGCCTGAAAATGAGAGTGTGTGGATTTTTATCCTGCCCACAGCTCTCCAGTGATGCTTGTGATAAGTGTGTATGTCTTCTTAAAAAAAAAAAAAAAAAAAAAAAAAATCCCAGCTGCCCTGGGGTGACCTGACCTGCCTTTTTGTTTGGACTTGTATGTAAACATGTTCTACTTCAACGTTGTGCTCTATCTGTTTGAGACTTGGAATGTAGCTAAAAATGAAAGTTTGTGCTTAGTACCTGTTGGTAAGAGATTATTTTATCAAAATAAATAATGTCCTTATATCTCCTTATCTCTTATTTACTTCTTCACATAGACCTTGCTCCATACTTCCTAGAGAAGGTTCACATGAGGTTACCAGGTGCGATCTCACTCAGATTGTATTTCCTCCATCCTCGAGATGCCCATAAAGTTTCCGTCTTTATCTTTCTTCATATCATAGAGGATGAGGTGTCCTGCCAAGACTAACCCTCTGCAAATCCAACATGAGACCTCATTTCCTGTTAACAGAGTGAGGATCTTGATCCCTCTTCTGCTTCCTCCTCCTCTTTAAAAATCTTACATCTAATTGTTAATGACCCTCCCAGCCTCCTTCTCAAGACTCAACCCAACAGTCCTCTTCCATGAAAGGCCAAAGTAGACTGTAAGGATTTCTCAAGTTGTGTCTCACTTCATGTGACTAAACCATTAAGGTTGTTTTGTTTTACCCTGCTTTGTGTAACCTTAACCTCAGTCTTTCTGTGCCTTCCTCAAAATTAGATCATAGAAATGGAGAGATTTCTTTCTTGTTTGGCCTTTCCTGTAAATCTCATTTCCAGATTTGCTCCCAGTTAGGGTAAAGGTTAAGTGGAGTGGGAAAACAAGAGGAAGGGAGGGGACGTCATGCTTTGTGGAGCCAGTCCACTCAGACATTTTCCAGCTCTAATCAAATGCCCTTCTCGATCGATCTCATCACCTTGCCATCCCACTTTCTTCGTTCAGGAGCATGCACTCTTTCGGGTGGCCTCCGCCATCTTGTCTGCCCAGTGGCCTCTCCAGCAGGTGGCATGTGCAGTGAGTCTCCATGATGGCATTAGCTCTCCAGGGCAGCTTTCCACACTCACCCTTCCCCCTGTTGTCAGCAGGAAAACTTCCTCTGACCATCTGCTACTGAATTAGTCAAAGTTTATTAATTTGTCCACAGGATTTCTCCCCCAAAGCTGCCCAGTTGGTCCTATTGTTCTTTGTATGCCCGGTTTTCTCATTTCTTAGGGGAGTGTTATTCTTTTGTATTTTATTCTCCTAACTTGAACATAGATCCCCGATATTTACTACTATAAAAACTCTTCCATATATTCCTCTCCTAATTTAGAGTTGTACAGTCGTAGTCTAGAGACCAGGTAACAAAGAGAATTCAAGTAGGGAGACTGCAGAGCCAAAGAGCATGATATCAGAACTGGGGTCAATGTGTCTCTGGTTTGCTTTTGTGACCTGGCCAAGTTGCAGCCCTTCTCTGCCTCAGTTTCCTTATCTATAATGTGAATAAAAGCATTGTGCTAGTCTGGAGTTCTGTGAGAATCACTGGAGATAATTTATGGAGGAATTCTCTAGGAAGGTAATTTGTCATACAAACCTACTGGCATTTCTGTTAAGTTTATTCTGTTAAGCAGCATCATAATATTCCTTTTTTTTTTTTTTTCAAGATTTATGTATTGGAGAGAGAGCACGAGTGGAGGTGGGGCAGAGGGGCAGAGGGAGAAGCAGACTCCCTGCTGAGCAGGGAGCCCAATGTGGGGCTCGATCCCAGGACCCCAGGATCATGACCTGAACTGAAGGCAGACACTTAACCACTGGGCCACCCAGGCATACCCCCACATCATAACATTCCAAAAACCGCACCTGCACCTGTGCCTCATAGTGAGGACTTCCTACCATAGTGTGGAAACAGGTCTAAGGCATGTCCCCAATCTGACTGTCAGTATTTTGAGGATTTTTCCCTCGAGGCTGCCTGAGGGGGAGAGGCACTGTGGTCCCCCCACATTCTTTGGTTGGCAGAGCTTGTACCCCAGTTTGTTAGCTGCTGCTGTAGTCTCTAGCTTGTGTGATGCTTCTGGCTGAAGAGAACTAGTGCCTAGAAGTGATTTAGACAGGGGTCCAGGCTGCCAAGCCACATGTCGGGCTTCTGTGCACTTTGTAGTACGTGGTTTCCTGAAGATTCTGGGTAAAAGTACTCATCAGAGCCTCCTTGCAAACAGGCCCTGACAGTCTCCTTTGTCGTGCTTTTTCTGCCAGAAGACACCATAGCAAATTGGTCCTTCACTGCACACCTCTGTGTTGTTTTGCAGCCCAGCAGACTAGCAACGCCCAGAGCTAGCGGTAATTTCTACAGGACTTACCACCACTGTCGAACATGGAACATATAAGCGTAAAGTCTCTCTGTGCCTGCAAATGCAAACCCTTGTTTCAAGTGATGTGACCACTTCCTTTTGCTTCCAAACCCACTTTCCACGGTCCCTGCCAGAGAAAAGGGCAGAATCAGGCTAGGTTAGCATGCTTGCCAAAGATTTAGGTAGGAGATATTACACAAATGTCTAAATTATTGCAGCTTGGGACTCTGAGATTTCAAAAACATACTTTCACACACTTCATTATTGTTACTATTTGTGACTATTTGATAAGCTCCAGAAACTTGTTGTGCCATAGAAAATAAATCATTCCTAATGGCTGGGGTTTTTTTTCTTCTTCTTCTTCCTTTTTTTTTTCTTTCTAAACTTGAACTTGTCCTGAAACAGTCATCCATCATCACCATACTTTTCTCTGTTTCATACATTTTTTTTTCCTTTGCCCTAGGATGGTCGTCTACGGATGAATGACCAGCTGATTGCCGTTAATGGGGAATCTCTTTTGGGAAAGTCCAACCACGAAGCTATGGAGACACTGAGGCGATCGATGTCCATGGAAGGAAACATTCGAGGGATGATCCAGTTGGTGATTCTGCGGAGACCAGAGAGACCACTGGAGGTGACACAAGTCTTTGGTTCCCTCAGCAAATTGCCCAAATGGCCACCTAAAATATGCAGAGTTCCATAACTTAGTATCATACTGATCCTGAAACTGGGAAAATATGCCCCAGAAGGGCTCTGATGGATTTAGGTGGCAAACACGTGGTATATTATAGGTATAACTAGAAGGTATAAATATGTACATATCAAGTAAGTAATTTATCAAATCTAACAGGTCCTTATTTTCTAGTTTTTTGTCCCCCCAGAAATTTCTAGACTTTGGACTTCATTCATATAGTAAACTATTAAACTATATAGCATCTTTAAATACTTTTTTGATTGATGTGCTTATAGCGTCCATACTTTAGAAAGTTCTTAATCAGAGGTATACAGTGCTTAGTGTAAAGACTGTTATAATGCAGTATGTTTTCCCCCACAATGTGCACGTAGATAATAAAGACCTGGAACTTAACTAATTTAAAACTTGATTTATTAAGCAAGCTCCTTGCTTCATGTTATTAAATAAATGTTTTTAATTAAATAAGTATTTTTGCAGCATTTTATCATGATTTTTATGGATTTTTTTAACGCAAGAAATATTTCTGCCTACACATGAAGTGTAAGCATAAAGTATTCTTGATTGCTGATATCCCTAAACATTTCAGTTATATACAATTATATTTATATTACACAATTATAGTATTAAATTATAAAGTGTATTGATATATTTATAATATTGTAAAATATTCCTAAAATGTTATTTTCTTTTATATATGAAAAATAATTATTAAATGCTCTTAAAAATATTTTAAGAAAGGGTACCTGGGTGGCTCAGTGGGTTAAGCCTCTGCCTTCGGCTCAGATCAGGATCCGAGTGTCCTGGGATTGACAATGTACCGCATCGGGCTCGCTGCTTGGCAGGGAGCCTGCTTCTCCCTTTCTCAGTCTGCCTCTCTGCCTACTTGTGATCTCTCTCTGTCAAATAAATAAAATCTTTAAAAAGAATATTTTAAGAAAAAGTAAGAAGAAAACGGTTGATCACAGTTTAGAGTTAAGAAAAACCTGAGCGCATCACACAGATATTCTCTGAGGACAAGTAATGTTTGTGTAATACAATAATATGCAGAGTTAACATAGAATACTGTTAACAAAACACTAATAGAAAATATTAGTTTTAATAATATGTTCAACTCAAAATTTAAAAAGGATTTTTCTTTTTTTTTTTTTTAAGATTTTATTTATTTATTTGACAGAGATCACAAGTAAGCAGAGAGACAGGCAGAGAGAGGAGGAAGCAGGCTCCCCACTGAGCAGAGAGCCCGATGCGGGGCTCGAGCCCAGGACCCTGGGATCAGGGCCCAAGCCGAAGGCAGAGGCTTTAACCCACTGAGCCACTCAGGCATCCCAAAAAAAAGGACTTTTCAAATTGAGTTTCAACTACCTTCTACTATTTTTCGTAGTAGTTAAAAGCTTAGGCCCTAAAGTTTTGGATTACTTGAGTGAAACTCCCAGGTTGTCCATCTCCTGGCTATGTGAAGACATACCTAGCTGAGTGCTCGGAACTTGCAGATGACAGATACTGTTGTCTATTTTATCCCTTACCGTATCCTCATTTCCCAGCACACAGTAGACCCTTAGTAAATAGCGTCGATTGAATGAATAAAAGATGCCTCTGAGACCTCCTTTATCTGAGAGGGTCAGCTGAAGTAGTAAAGTTATAAACTAGATCTCACTTTGTTATATTATCAGCTATTGGAAGAGAGTAACTGTACCTTTTTACTCTTCTGTACATAACCTTGTAAATGTTAAATAAATGTAAATTGGCCAATTACTGGAGACTATATATAATGAGCCAACTCGTTTTCAACATTTGTGTCTGCTTAAGTGACAGAGAGGCTTCCATGAATATTTAATGGATTTTACTTATGTACATAGTTATAAAACCCTTATCTAATGCTCCCATCCGTGGTGGAATTGGCTCCTTTCTGGTTTAATTTAATTCCTACCCTAGAGCCTTGGGATTCATGGTACCCCGTTGGTGTGAAGGATGTGAAGGTGTGAAGGATGGCCCGTGGGCCCCTAAGCCACCCCTCTGTGCATCTGTGTATTATGTGTCCCTTAAGATTTCTTGGAACAAAGATATTTCAACTAGGAGAAAAGTCTGGAAGGCACTGCTGTAGAGTACCATTCCTGTGCCAATAGCAAGAGTTAAGGGAAAAAGAAGAGAAAGAAAGAAAAAATGAACAAGGTTGTTAAGAATTATGTCTGCCATCTCTCCCCTTCCCTAATTCCATGTCTTTCTCTAAAATGGGTGTGTGCCTGGTGGGTAAGCATTCTATATTTGGGCTCCTCTAGTTGTGACGTTTTATCATTTACATTCTTCTTCACTGCGCGAGTTTCTGGTCTTCCACTCTGAGGTGGGTTGACAATTATTCCATCAGAAGAAAGTACTAAACTTTCGGTGTGTTGCCCATCCTCGGAAGTGTCTTATTAATGTAGTTCACTAGGAAATTAATTGGAAATTAAGAAATTGGATGACAAGCAATTTTTTTAAAGATTTTATTTATTTATTTGACAGAGATCACAGTAGGCAGAGAGGCAGGCAAGAGAGAGAGGCCGTGGGGGAAGCAGGCTCCCCACCCAGGAAAGAGCACAATGCGGGGCTTGATCCAGACCCTGAGATCATGACCTGAGCCAAAGGCAGAGGCTTAGCCCACTGAGCCACCCAGGTGCCCCACAATTTTGATGAAGATATTTAAACAAAAGGTCCCTTTTTAGTTTCCCTAATATTTACATGCTTTCCATGGGGAATGAGCAGGCACTTGATGCTCTCAGCTCTCGGGAATCTCTTTGGTACCCACGAAGATTAAAGAACATTTTTTTCTTATGAAGACAGCAGCTGCTGATGTACAGCTCATCTTTATTAAATTGGAAAAAAATAAAAAAAAACAGAAAAACCGTCTGCAGCTCTTTCTCTCCCAGTTCCGTGTTTTTGTGTGTCAAAGCATATGTCGTGCCCTCCTGCTCTTGCTGTGTCCCCTGTGGAGAAGCAGTCACCCTCAGGTACAATAAAAAAGCAGCATACCTGAGAAAAAGGTCTCAGCACTGCTCATACATTCAGGCAAATCAATTAGTTAGATTTGGCAAGAATACCAAAACTGTTACTTGAACATTATATTGATATAAAAAAAAATTGAAGGAGCTACTTAGGGAAAGTCAAAATATATAGTTGTTGGAGTATTTTCCCACATTACCCAGATGTACAAGATACGTAAACAGTTTTGATGAGGACCTCGTGAAGAATACATAATGAATTCTTGATTGAATCAAAATCATTTTAAACAGAAACATGTTTTTCAAAGGGCGAGCTTGAAGTTCAATTGTAATTCTATTTGAGCCTAGAGACTTAGTATTAAAAAATGGGTTATGACCTGTTTTTTTTCTTCCCCCTGCCCCCAAAACATTTCCCTCCTCCCTACAAGCTCATCTAGGTAGAAGCAGATTATGTTTAAAAATCCATTATATTTTTTATCGGCTGGGACACTAATGGAGAGCTCCACGACGGCTCTATTTTACAAGCTGAATACTTTAATTAGGCTGGTTACTGATCAGTTGTTGGGATATCGATGGTGTCATTTATCAAAGAGCTGGGAGAGCAGATTTTTTTTTTTTTTTTTTTTTTTTTTTGGTTCTTGTTGTTGAAGCACAAGGCTAGGTGAAGTAAGTCCTACCTCTCCTGCCTGCTGAGGCTCGGGCTTTAATTTAGGATTTGTTGGCCGAGTCTGGTTTGACTAACAATACAGAGGCAGAGGGTAACACTACATGTGGGAAAAGTGTTACAAGCCTCGACAAGAAGCTAAGAGACCTTTGGCAGCTGAAAACATTTTAATTATTAAGAATGTATAAATTGAATGTTTTAAATTTTTTGTTTAGCAGGATACCGAGTTTTTGTAAGTGAGAGGAAGGTATAATAAAATTATTCAGGCCAAATGCTTTGCTCTGAAATAAAGAGCTTTGGCAATGGGATCTCTGTTTCTCTTTGCATCCTGCTCCTCTCACACATGGTCAAGGGCACACTGGTGAGATGGCGTCCACGTGACTTCCTTGAAATCTGTGAGAAAGACACATAACCTGAGCAAGAGCAGAACCCAGTTCTGTGTGTGTCCATCCTCTCGAACAGACACCTGGAGCTCTCCAGAACTGGCCCCCCTCAGCTCCCTCTTCACACCTCTGTAACATGGTTTGTGGGCATGTTACTCTGGATACAGCCCTTTTGAGGACACTGTGAATTTGTTGGAAGGCTGTCCACAGCCAAACAGGAGGGAAAAACATCAAAAAGTAGGGGGGAAGCTCAGGAGAACCCCTGTCTGACATTGTCACCAAGTTTGTTTTAGCTTCTGGCCAGCAGACCTGGTGTCCACAGCAGGATACACTCCTGGCGTTTGAGTGGCAAACCTGCTTAGGTTCTGACTTGTCCTAGAGCATATGCACTTAGTCGCTGAGGGAGAGAGAGAGGAACCAGCTGGTTGGCAGAAAAACACCCTTGGCATGAACCGTTCTTCTTGTGTTGACACTGCCACAAGCTGTATTCCCAGATGGAAGAAAATTTGAAAGAAGCCAGTTGTAAGTGGGGGGAAAGAATGATAAAGTTAATCCTCTTTGGTGCTGGCTATGAGTTGTCCCAGTCCTTAGCACCACGTTGTCAGTATTTTGTGTATCTCACATTCGAAGATGTCTTAACTGATAGGGCCATTTTGATTTTCCAGTTGAGAGGGTATATGCAATAGACTTTTGGGAGCTCATTCATAAACTGATCATTCTCCTACTTTGCTTTCATGGACCAAGTTTGAACATATTAAAAAAGCAAATGTAATTTTTTATTTTCATTCCTTAGGAGCCTGCAGAGTGCGGGGCATTTTCTAAGCCATGCTTTGAGAATTGTCAAAACACTATAACCACCTCCAGGAGAAATGATAACAGCTCATTGCATCCCTTCGGCACTTACAGTTCGCAGGACAAACAGAAAGGTAAGAGTCTGTCCATTTCCATCTGCTGCAAATGGCTGGAGAAAACACAAGACTATATATTTTTTTAAAAGGACAAAGGGAAGTTAATTAGACCAAGTGCAGGCTTTGTTCCTCTGAGTCATGAACACGGGGAGATGATGGGTAGGAGAGCTGACTCAGAAGTTGTGAAGCAGATTCCTGGCATCGCCTCCAGTTTAAGTGACAGTTTCTGTGTTTGCTGCCCCAAACACGGAGGATTATGTGTAAAACAAACCAAACGAAAACAAAATGGCAGCATGGAGAAACAAAATGGCAAACTGTTATTTTTTTTTTAAACACTCTTTCCATTATTGAAAGTTACCAAATGTAAATAACTATTAAACTTAAAAAAAAATGTGCAGACTAGTATTAAACCGTAAGGCGGTCATTGCATGATTCATGGGTTCTAGGAAGAGTCTGGTAAATACCATGAATGAGACCATCCTGTAGCAGTTGCAATGTTCTTATTATTCCCTCACTATGTTGTCTTTCCCTTATTTTCCGGTACTAGTAGAGCTCTGGATATAAAACATTTGGACTTTGTTTTTAAAAAATCATACTCTAGGTCACCAAGAAAAAAAATATTTTTTATTTCCCTGAATGTCCTTTTTTAGAAATAACTAAGTTTTTTGTATTGCAAAGGCAATACATATTCATTGCAGAAAATTTAGGGAAAAGCAATAAAAAGAAAATTTAATATTACTTATTCATCCTTCTAACTATCAAAGATACTAATCCATAACATTTTTACATCTGTATTTCAAATCTTTCCTTCATGCAAATATGCATATATAAGATGAAGTGAAAATGAAATATATATAATGTTTAGGAAATTGCTCTTTTAACTAATAACACATTATGACCATCTCACTATGTCACTGAGTATTTTACATCATCACATTCAGTGGTTCCATAGTGAGCCTTTGAACGCAGGTACTATTTATGTAATCTGTCCCTTTTTCACATATAACATGTTACCTGAATTTAAACTACGTGGGAACAAGTTTGAAACTCTGAGTTAACTCCATCAAAACAGGCTTGTACATCTCCGATTCCTTGAGAATTGTTTCATCAGAATGGACGTTGTCTTTTTCTCTGACTTCGTCCATTTTAGTGGGAGTAGCAGCAACAGCTGTGACCATTTATTTATTAAGTGTTTACTGTCTGTTAGGTTCTGTGTTAAGCAATTTACATGCACACTGGAAGTGGGTAATACTATTATCCTCGTCTTACGGATGAAGAAACAGAGAGTAAATAATTAACCCAAGACCACATACTTAATCCACGCAGAGCCTGGATTCAGCCCCTATCTCTCTGATTCCAGTTCATTCCCTAAACCACAGCATGGACCCTGTCTTACGTTGGTCCCTTGAAACTGTTGAAGTCCTTTCACCTGATACCAAAACTGTGATTAAAGGCTCACTTGACTTTGTGTCAGATAAAGAAATACTCTTGTCTTTTCTTGTCTTCTTTAGAAATTAAAATTTGTCTTGACAAAGCGAGATCTCTTTCCAAGACCTTAAATCACAGTAGCAGGAGAATCTGGGGAAGGAACAGCAAGTTTTCCACATACTAGACCAGCCTTCTCTTAACCATGCCCATATAATGATCAAGAACATTGCCATGTGTATTAAAATATCTAGGCTTTACATAATTTGATTGGCATTTTATTCTCAAGAAACATGTGATACAGTGACAATCCAAGTTCAGGGTTTTATTCCTAATTATACCAGTGACATCCAAAGGAGTAGTGGGCACATTATCCCCTATCTTGTTTCATTTTTTTATTAAAGATTTTATTTTTTAAGTAATTCTACACCCAATGTGGGGCTCCGATCCATAACCCTGAGAGCAAGAGTCACATGCTCCACCAAGTATGCCAGCCAGATGCCCCTCATTTTTAATAATTATAAAATATTGATGCTGGAGTGATAATTATACAGACTATTTTTAGAGGACACTGAGACACTCAAGGAAATGGGACACTATCTCTAGACGGGACAGGAGAGGCCAAAATTATGAAATTATAGAACTAGTTGAAGTGTGAGGATATATACAGGAAAAAAAAATTCAAATAATAGAGTCCAGTCAAAGCACATGCTAAAAACAAAATGTCATAATACTTTGAAATGTCAATAGAATGTTCTGAGTTTGTATTTCCACTGACCAGCTACGTCCTTTGGGTATATGTGGCCCCAGACAACCACTGTGAGTCTCTATCTGTTCTCTTTCTCTTGAGACTTAACTCCAGATAGAACAACTTTTTACACCAGTGAAAAACCATGCAGGTCAGCTATCTGCAAGTTTCCTGCTTTACTTCCTTTCCTCATGTCAGTTTTCCAAAGTGGCAAAAAAAAAAAAAAAAAAAAAAAAAATCCAGTTTTTTCAAGCAGGGATTGCATCAAACATTATTTTTTTTAAAGCAGGAAAAATCTGTTGCTGTTATTTCCTTGTATATTCAAGAATTCCTTGTATATCCAAGAATTTGACCTATCAAGGCATTAGACTCATTAAATTTTAATCATAAGAGCAGTAGATGAAATTTTCTTACTTTTATGTAAGCCTATTGACTTAGAGATAAAAATATATATAATAGAATTTGTAAACAGGAGGCTGTAGAAGAACATCCTGATCACCATCTCGTTTTCATATTCAGAACATTTAAAATGTTGTGAACCATTGAGAGCTTTTGAGTTTCAGATGCAAACAAAGTAGCAAGAGGTTTCTCCTGAAACCTGAGTGTTGACTCAACACGACCAGGTTTTTTAAGGAGCCCCTTCAGAAAAGCAAGATTGAGTTGACAAAATGTAATGTCTAGTGAGGAAAGGAACTGTTACAGCCAAAACATTCAGTTCTTTTTTTCTTCCCTTTTTCCTTTCCTTTGTATATTTAAAAACCCAATGTTGATATGCGGGGTTCCATCTATTTTTGTAATAATAGTACATGCCACCCACAGTTCCTTGGTTATTTTTTTATATATATACACATACTCCTGTCAAGCTGTTCCATGGAAAAGGCATTTTTAGAACTAACGTTTGTAGAAATTGTAACACCAGAAAATTCACATTTGTGTTGGAGAATTGCTAGCAGTGCCTGCAGTAGAATGAGTGTGGTGCCCCAAGATGGCCAGGGGTCAGGATGGGGGCTGTGTCCCAAGGGTTTACTTATAAAATCCTATTAAGCATTTAAATGTTAATAAAGAATACAAATTACCGACACTGTATTTTCTGAAGAATTTTGGTGGTAGATCTCACCCCTGGCTACATAATGGTTAAATAATAGTAATAAGCATCATTTGCCTCTGGTTTATTATTAGTTCTCTTTTCATTGCTCTCGTCTCCCACTTTTTTGCTCCATCCCTGCTTGGCCCCCGCCTTTCAGCTCAACTGCACCCTAGCACCATGTGTAAGTCACCCATTACCCTAAGTCTGCCCAGGCTCATCACCCAGGGACGGCTCCTGTAGGACTTCCGTCCCCACCCCAAATCAAGCCCCTTTGGTTGTATGTCCCATCTCACTGGGTCCATGTTCCCTTGGGCCCTTTGGGCAGACACATAATGTATAATTATTCCTAATGTGCCTTCTCTGGGGAACCAGCTCATGTCCACCCCTCTGTAGCACATAAGACACTCCCTGTGGAGTGGTGATCAGAAATTGAATTATACTTTTCAATTTGCCTGATGTTTATTGGATACCTCCATTGTGCAGAATACACCATCAGTGAGTCAAAAAAGAATACAGTTGCTGTACTAGCCCTCAATAATAGGCTTTTACATTTTTATCAGTTAAAACAAAAAATCTAAATCCGGAGTCATTAAAATTTATCTATAAAAGGCCAGCTAGTAAGTATGTTAGGCTTTGCAGGCCTAGCTCTCTGTCTCAGCTCTTCAGCTCTGCCGCTGTAAACCAAAAGCAGCCATGGACAGCGTGTAAATGAATGAGTGTAACTCAATGAAACTTTATGTACAAAACCAGATGGCGGGCTTGTTTTGGACCAGGGCCATAGCCTAGTGAGCCCTTGTCTTAAGTTGCAATCTCTTTCACTCTTCTTTTCTGATCTGGCCCTAGCAGGATGGAGTCTATAAAACAAGTAAGAAAATTAAAAAATGATTAAAATCAGGGTCATTGGGTCATGAATGAAGCAGTTACTGGAGGGTGCGCTGTCAGTTTTCCTAGGCAAATATACAGGACGGCCATCAAGACTTGACCTTGTCCGTGTGGTGAAATCCAGAAATATTATTTTTTGGAGAAAGGAGTTCCACATTGTCGCACTGATGGAGGGTTAATAGAGATGTTTGGGCCATGAGAAAAACTATTCCTTATACCATTGTTTAAAAATGTACCAGGAACAGAGAATCAACATAGAAGATATTTGCCTCTGTACCTATAGAAACTTAAAAAATATGTAGGTTGTTCATGTGGATGAAATAAAAATTAAAGGTAACAGAGGCACCTGGGTGGCTCAGTCACTTAAGCACCTGACTCTTGATTTCAGGTCAGGTTGTGATCTTGGGGTCCTGGGATCGAGCCCCATGTCAGGCTCCCTGCTCAGCAAGGAGTCTGCTTGTCTCCCTCTCCCTCTGCCCTACCCCCCAGTGCAATTTCTCTCTCTCTCTTTTTCTCTCTCCCTAAAGAAATGTAGAGGTAACAATTGTAATAAAACTTGAAGAATCTGAGGAAGAGGAGGGAAAGGAGAGGGAGGGCAAGGAGGAGTTTCTCTGTAGTCCAGTAAGAAATAGGTCTAGATACATAGATGATAGATCAATAGCTCATTGCAGAAGCAGCATGTGAGAAATGTTATAAATGGAATAATTTTCCATAATAGTAATGGATAAATCCCAAATGTCAGTGGAAAAAGACAGCGAAAGTATTTTTCTTATCTTAATCGTAGCCAATGAGGCGTGGTAGAAGGAGGATGGGCACTGTGCTCCATGCAGTGATGAAGGGACCTGGGCTCCTTCTGTCCTTCTGGGCCATTTTCTAGAGACTCCTCCACTCCTGCTTGCCGCTGGGTGATGGGACAGGTGGAGAGAATGTACCCTTTCGTAACCACTGACACTCGGGATGTCAATGTCCAGAGCAACTCACCTGCTATTGGCAAGAACAAATCTAGGTACAAAGAAGGCTGGGAAATGGGGTCTGTAAGTGCAGAAAGAAAGAAGGAACACAGAGTGAGCGCTGGTACTCTTCTGCCACAGCCCTAAAAATATTGAGGTGGATCTTGAGAGAAGGGTGGGACTTTGATGGATGCGAGTGGATTTTGCAGTTACGTAAGCAAACACACTGAGGCAGGAAAGCCCAGGCTGGTGGTTGGGGAACAGTAAGTAGTCCTGGGTAGCTAAGGGTGATAAAGAGCTGATGTTGCCTGCCGAGGCAGAGACCTTTATGCTTTAAGCTATTGTGTGCACCTGAAATGTTTCTGGGAGGCCAAGTTACATGATCACAGCTACATCACCAGTGTGAAAGACAGGCTAAGAAGTTGCAGGTAGAGAGATGACAGCCAGTGGGAATGTTGTCCCAGTATGTGCCTTTTCTCTAGTTTATGGTGTATTTTTCTGTTCTATTTCTCTGGCTGCCTGACTGCTGCTATATTACCAAATCACTAGATTACTTGGGTGGGAGGCAGTGCAGGAGGACAGTATCGATTGCCTTTGCTTGCCGTGCTTCTGTACCTTGGTCACCCTGCCTCTCAGATCTCCTGCTTCCAGCCTCCAACCCAGGGATGTGTCAGCACTGCCAGAATTACCTCCATTTTCTACTAGTCCCTGGGGCAGAGCTTTGAGCAGGGTTCTCTATAGAACAACCAATGGGATGTATTTGTAGTCATATGTATTTAAAGTATAATAGACATTATATTGTACATCATATAATAATATATATTATAGTGTATAATATAAAATATATAACATATATGACATATACATAATAAGATGTAATAACTCATATAATATAATGAGACTTATTGTAAGGAATTGGCTCACGTGAGGATGGAGCCAGGCAAGTCCCAACGTCTGCGAGATGATTGAGCAAAGCTAGAGACCAACCAGAGCCAACGGAGCAGTCCCACCCTGAACGCCGACTCGAGACCCAGGAAGAGTCAGTATATCTGTTCGAGTACAAGAGCAGGAAGAATCTAGTGTCTCAGTTTGAAGAGAGGCAGGCAGGAAGAATTCTCTCCTACTCAGAGGAGGGTCAGCATTTTGGTTCTACTCAGGCCTTCAACAGATGAGATGCGGTTCACCCACATTATGGGGTCTACTGTTTTTAATGCTAAGCTTACCCAAAAAGCACTGTCCTAGAAATACCCAGAATAATATATGATTCATTATCTGGGTACCCTGGGCTGAGTCCTGTTAACTGTAAAAGTAACCATCATACCTGGTGTGTGGACAAGTCAAGCGGCTTCTGTTACGAGCAGCGTCCCATAGGGATAGACACTTTTCTCCTGTTCCAGCAATCAAGAACAAATAGGGTCCACATGTTACCTAATCTCTCACCGTAACAGATACACGGTAGAGTTTAGGCGGTATAGAAGGATAATCTTTTAGCTGCTTATTAGCGCTTTGCGTTTCTAAATCTGTGTGAATATGCACAGCCTTCGATAATCCTTATATTCCTCTAATGAAGCTATTCTCAACCCCACCTTACAGATTTCAAAAACTGAGGCTCAGAGAAGTTAATAGTTGGGCCAAGTTCCCACAGCAGTGGGAGCCATGATGGAGACATGGTGGCCTTGCTACACGAACTCGACTCTCTCCCAGGCCGCTCTCGCAGGCTTTTCATACATTCATTAGTGCAGGTAATAAGGACAAGCTTTAGATGACATAATGTACATAATGCTTAGCACAGTGTCTGCTCTACGAAAGATCTCTACAGGCCCGCTCCTTATTGGCCGTAGTAAGTTTCAGGATACATGTCTATTTCTTCCAGAGTAGAATAGATTGAAAAAAAATGAACACATTATGTAGGTGAGAAAACCAGGTCTGACCCTAGATTTTTGCTTCCAAGGCCTCAAACCCCCGTCTTTCCACTGTAGCTCAGATGCAAAAAGAGTATTTTTACCCCTCTACCATCTAGAAATGGTGAGTAAATCTAAAGTATCTCATTTTTTAAGTACTTTTTGTCACCAAGGTGACGCCACAATCACCACATAATCCAGCCTATTCGTGAGAGAGTCTTGTTTACAAAATCGTGAAGGAATGAAAGAGATGGCTTTGTTAATCTTCCGCAGAACACACGTCAGGAGCGACTGTCAGCCTTCCGTAGGCGGGAGAAGATATCCAAGATGCAGGATCCTGACTTGCCATGGGTTGCTGGCAGGCCACCAGTGTAAAACCTATTAGTGGGCTCAGATTTCCTCATATAGGGCTGCATTGGCTCCCATACAAATCCTGAATCAGTTCTGTAGGACTTATTGATTTCAGGTTGGTTTATGTGTTGGTGAAAATTACATCTGTGAGATGGACTGAAAGCAAGCCGGGCATCAACAGTTCCGCCTCCCACTGACCACAGCTTCATTGGTTCTTTGTTTTTTAGTGCTGTTGCTTCCCAGTGACGGATGGGCAGATCCTGAGGTCCCGCCTTCTCCACCACCACATCCTGTTCTGGAATTGGGCCTTGAAGATTACAGCCACAGGTATTGATAAAATGATAGATCGTAAACGTTCCCCATTACGGTGTTTCTGGGAAAACCCCGCAGCCTGATTTTAACTCTATTTCTTTCCAGAATGGAAATCTCATAGCATCTATAATTCCTTTTCAGTGAAAACTTCTGATAGCTAAAATTAATAGTTGAGAGTGTTCATGTTTTGCTTCCTGGAATTTAAGATTCATCATGTATTATAAAATATTTAAGAAAATGGTTGAACTTTCTTTTATCGTGTTGAAAAACCAGAGAACTCAAAAGGTTCTATAGGAAGGAATAAAACAAAACTGAGAGGCTATAAAGCTTAGTTGTTGTTGTTGTTGTTGTTTCGTTTGTAATTGGCAAACCCTAAAGGTATTTTTAAAATGTTCCAAGAAAGTTAATGGAATCTAAAAATTAAAGCAACACCATATATAATCTAAAATATTGTAAAGAGTGCCCAATATTATATCCACTGTGTAATAGAAACCAAAAAAATCAATAATTTTTAGAATCTCACAAGCATGAGAGAGAGAGAGATTTACTAAGTATACACACCATCTGACTAGTGGCATTCATAGATTTTGTTCTTCTGATGAGTTTTAAAAATCATTAACTTGTCTCTTTGCTATTTTCTGTATTTATTATGGCTGTTAAAAACTGTGTATTTTATTCCATTCTATGTCCCAGGATAATCCTGTGAAATTTTTCCATTTTTCCTGCAGCAATGCTGGTGTCATTCCTACTATGCTTTTTTATTGCAATCTGCTAAAAATAAAGCAACACAAAAAGCATATAGCTAACTCTATTAGCTGAAAGCCTATCTATATTTAGCTATCCCTGATTCCTACATTTTTGAAATCAGCTATCTGACTCAAATACAATTTCACCAACTGGATGGATAATGACACTAATGTTCTAGATCAGTTTTCTAGGGGTTTCTTGAAAGAAAATGTGGACATATTTAATTTTGTCCATTCACTTCCATTGCCGGCTCAAACCTGAATCAAAAATAGCAGTTTGTCAGCCATAACAAAATGCATTAAAAAAATAACTTTATTCATTCCATTTTACCGTTATCCTGTGTATACATGCAAAAGTGTTGGGATAATACAAAGATGAATCAGATATAAACCCAACTCTCAAGAAGATGGTAGGCCAGGGGGTAAAAATGACAACTAGCACACAGGGTACAAAGTGATATTTACCAGGAGGTATTGAGAAAATGCTCTGGACATCCAAGACGGAGTAGAATGCTTCCAGATAGAGGAATCAGGGGAAATGTTATGGGAAAAGTGATGTTTCAGCTAAACCACAAAGTATGAATTGGAGGTAGACATGAGAAAAGCCCAGGAAGGAGGGGAATTTCAGAGAGAGGGAAGGGTAGAAGGAACAGCGTGGCAGTTGGGAAAGGAAGTCGATTTGGGCAACTTGTATCATGGCTCACTGGTCAGATGCTAGAATGCAGAATGCAAAGATAAATACAGACTTCCTTCATTAGATGGTAAAACCTTGTGGTAGAGTTTCAGCAGAGAGCATAACACCTGGGTTTTAGTCGTGTGCAACAGGCATTAGGGAGATGGAGAAAGGTTAATGTCTGCTGGAAACCAGAGACTCTTTGGACATTTTCTAGGGCAGTAGCAGTGAAAGGTACTAAGGATGTATGCTGGGGAGGGTGGGGAGAAGCTTTCAGATGAGAAACCTCTTCAGGGGAGAGAGAGCATCAGAGATATTGCAGAGATGGAGTTATCAGGAATTAGCAATGGCCTTTTTGGCTTCTTCAGTGCCTCCACAGATTTTGGGCAGCGGGGGGGGGTGGGGGGGGTAGGGGTTGGGGGCAGGGGAGAGGGCGTGGTGGGAGGTGCTGATAACAGCATCAGTTTGAGTGAGTTCAGTTGTGTGTGGATAGGGAAAGCCATAAACAAGGACAGTCTGGGGACTGGCAAGAAAGGAGAGGGCTGGCAAGAGTGGAGAGAGGAACAGCATGGCCGGAGAGGAAGGGGCAGAGCCAAAGACATTTTTGAGAAGGAAGGAGCAAATGTAAAGCTTTGAGAGTCTTCCCCTTGAGATCTCATGACCTGAGCCATCCTGCAAGCTGTTGCGTTGCCTAGGTGACCGGCGGCAGCAGCGGGGGGGTGGGTCAGATATGTGGAACTTGGGTTGGAGGAAAGGTTGGAAGGGAGCCAGGAGGGTTGGGCAAGGGAGGCTGGCTGCCTGGCTTTCAAAAAAAAAAAAAAGTAAAAGCCCTCTAAAAGGGAAAAGTGGTGCTTTAGGGATGTGGCCAGCCTTGTGAGACAGAAAACAACTGAACAGCTCTTGCATGAGACGTGAGACGCAGATGTGGTGAAACGTCATGCCCCTACCTTGAACCAGAATGACATCAGAATGTACTGAAGTTACTTGTAGTATTATGTCACCGATTATTGGACAGAAGTTCAGAATATGTTTCTAAATGAAAAATAAATATAGAAGAAATATATTTCCTACTGTTATATCTCAGGGAGGGCGTAAGGCAAATTGGAAACAGAATGTGTTGAATTCCCTATGTGTTCGTATTTTTTCCTCTCCATTCGCTCTGGGCTCACTGCGTCCGTCTCTCCCCTCCCTCCCTTCCTTTCTGCATCTACTCTCACTCAGTGGCCAGTTGCCAAAGCCTATGCATGGATGGACACCTGAGACTTCAGGGTTTTTTGGGTTTTGTGTTTTTTGTGTTTTGTTTTTTTTTCCCTACCTCTCAAAATCTTCTTCTCCTTCCTTTTGATTTCTGACAGTTGTCCTTGAACATTCATGGCTGGGTCTTACATGTCTTTCACATTCCTGATTTGTCACCGCATTCAGGACACTGGCATATGTTTCCTGCTACCTTTATTTATTCATTATGCAGCATAATTTGACATTGAGTATCATTTCTGTTTGATAGATTCCCTGCTTGTTCATGCTAAAAACGTGGCCTTTATCTAAAACGTGTCTTTGGCCTGCTGTCATCTTGTGGCTTCCCACAGCCTCCACGGCGGCCCACTCAGCCATGAGCACATGCTAACTTTCTTCAAAATTAAAACATGTCAGATTTTATAGTTAATCACTGTGTCACCCTTTCCCTCCAAAAATATCCAGTATGCCGTGTAAAATTACAAAGGGTCTTTCTAGTCTCACATGTCTAAGATATTTTCACACTAATTCAATACTACGCTTCATTATTTACATGTCCTGTATGAGTTCATGTAGCCAATGCGCACAGTGTGGGCTCTAACCCTATAATTTCTCATATTATACTTCCCTCTTAAAGATCAGCCTTATCTTGCCTTATCTCTTATTTTGTACCATAGCAAAATGGGCCCTTCTCTTAAAGGTTTTAAAACGTACATGTGGTCAAAGCAATGGCAACAGATGTGTAAATCACTATCACCAATTTAATGGGTATATTCAGGTATGTATAGTGTGTATACATACACACACACATACACACGAACATTTGTTACATTCATTTTTAGAAAGCAGTTTTTAATTCTTTGATCAGCCTTCATTATATGTAAACATTTATACCAAAAAAATTCACTCTATTTAGAGAGATCCTTACCTGCTGTAATATGGAGGGGCATTGCCACTTTGATTTTCTGTTTTAAATGGGGATGGGAATTGTTGTTTCCCAAGAGTCTCAAAAAATTTAAGTTCTTGTATTTAATTTGTCAATTAATGCCTAGTTTGGTAAAATAAGACAGTAATTTGGGTTAACCAATGTGTTCCTCAGTTGGGTAGGTTCCCATAGTCTCCCTTGAGCAGGGCTCTTTAACTGCAGTACAACCAAAGTTTTAATGAGGAATATTCTTGTTGGTCCTAAACCACTTCCCCAGTGGCTTTCAGTGTAACACGGGGCATCTGTTTGGGTTAACTCTTTACTTTCCTTTTGTTTCATGGTGTGTAGCACTGAAGCACAAAGCTAAGCTAAAATGCAAGCAGTGTCAGAGCGGGGAGTGACTCTGCCCAAAAAGGGAATGTTTTGATGACCATGGAGTCAGCAGCAGCAGCACCTGTGCCACAGGCTGGCCGCCATTTTAGCCAAAGCTTCGGTGGCTCTGAGAAAGGCAATATAAAGAAACCACAGTCTCTGGTCTTCACTTTGCCACTGGCCAGCTGTGTGACCTTGGAACAGCAGCCTCCTCTTTGGGCCCCAGTGTCTTATCTACAAGATGAAAAGTTGGATAAGGTGACCTTTAATGCCTTCCGGCTCTTAAATTCTCGGATTCTGTGAAGGCCAAGAGGCCCTCTGACACTAAAACCACATCATCGTAAGAGATCAAAGGGTGTGAAACTAAGTGCAAATAAAGGTTGAATAACACATTTAAAGGCAAGTCCTTCCAAAACATCAAGGCTCAGGGGGAAGCTCGTGTTCACAGTTGCCTCTCAGAATTCTTCTTTAAAATGGGCCAAAACAATCGGAGCATTGCTATTAGGCCAGGCCTGTTGTGAGTTTTGCTCACAACTGGTGTACTTTGTCATCACTCCCTACCACATCTAATATACTTCATATATGGCACTGGTTTTAGCTATTGAAAATATAAGCCAGACACCTAGGAAGAAGCCCCACCACCCCCCAAAAAAAGTTTATAATGAGTAGATTTGAACTTCTTAAGAAATTTTCATGAAACCATGTCTAAGTTCTTCACTGAAGAGTGTCTCAGGACCTCTCTAACGTACAGAAATAAAGAAGAGATTTAATAGCTCCCTTTTATTGAGCTGTCACTGTGTTCTAGGCACTACTGTTAGCATATACCATAACTTCCTTTCTTACAACTTTATACAACCTAACACTGTCTTGTGGGGACAAGTACCACATTGCTCTCTAGCCCAGGCTCCCAGTCATTGCCGCACATTACCCTTAGCTCCACTCGTGTTGAGCATAGCAGAAGACATAAACCTGTAGGAGTCACTATGTTGTATACCTGAAACTAATAGAACATTGCGTGTCAGCCTTATCGCAGTTTCAAATAAATGAATAATATTTGTTAAAGAGAAAGGAAAAAATTTTAAAATAAATTGAAGGAGGGAAGGGCTTAGTCCCAGGTCTACTGAGACCCTGACGAAAAAGAGAAAGAGAAGAGACTGGAAAAAATTATATAGATGACTTGAAAAGCAAAAATTGATAGTCTATGTATAATTTACCTGCTTAGTTGTTTCCTAAATGCATCTACTGGCATTTACTCTGTGCCACAATCTATTCCCAACTTTATAAGTCTTTTTATTTTTACTTTACGAACTCATTTTGTCTCTTAAGACCCCCATGAAGTAAGAAGTGGAGTTAGACCCATTTCATGCATCAGGAAATGGACACACAGAGAGGTTCAATAATGTCGTGGGTCCCACGGCTAGTCAGGGGCAGAGCCAGGATGGAGAACTAAGCAGCGAGGCTCCGACATCCGGCCTCCCAAGCTCTGTCCTCGGCTGCCGGTCCTGGGTACTTCCTTAAGCCCCACCATATTACAGAAACGGAGGTTCATTTACTCAGCAGTGTTATGATTGCTGCATTTTAATTTTAATTTTAATATCACTGCAAGGCAATATTGAAAGTACAGAATTAATGAGTGTTAAGAAAAGATGAAACTTATTTTGGCATATTTGGTTAAGAAATGGAGATCCCCTGTACATTTTCAAAAGATTCTCATTCATCGTAGTTCTTTTTTTTTAATGGTTGTTTTAGTGTTGACCATGTGAAATCCCAACTGTTCAAAAACCTCAACCTGAGTCCTTTCAGATTTACCAGAAATTCCTGTATTTAAAACTAGAATAAAGTTATGCTGAAATGCGCCCCCATATTAACTTTCTCAATATATGAGAATACGAGGGGAGAAAGCAGCCGTAATTTAACTTATGAAATTTAAAAATATGATTTATTTCTTGATCAAGAAATCAGGCATTGTCTGCAATTCCCTTGTATAATCCCCTCCATCTTCAAGTCAAATAAATAAAATATTTAGCAGAAATAGAATTCTCTGAGATTGACTGCAAGTGCTGGGAAGCCCATTAACAGGCATTTAATGTATCTGGTGCTTTTTTTGTTCTTTCCTTTTCATATTATGAATGAGTGGACTATTTGCTCGGTATGGACATTAGTTTTAGGAAATGGGCCTAAATAAAGTCGGAAACAAGCCACCACAGCCAGCAGTCTTTCCGCAAGATGGTCTTCTCTAAAGGACCCAAGCTTTCACTTGTTCTTAAAGGAAGGACATGCTTAGCCCTCAGAGATCTCTTAACCCTGCTTTCAGGCTCTGTGAATCTGCTGACCTCCTTTGAAATGCCAGTTCCTTCCAGGCCTGGCTTTCCCATTTGAAATTATATATGGTACAGCAGGATCCCAATTAGCAGAAACCAGTGAAGAGGAAAACATGATATTAGCCAGAGAATATTTTATTTAAATTGTAGAGTGTGATAAAATACAGAAAAATAGAGTCACTCCATCTCATAAAAGCCACCCAAGATTCCAGAATCGGTTGAAAAGACACGGTTGGGAGCTGGAGAGGGGAGGAGGAGGGGCTGGGTTCAAAATGAGAACGGCTTCCTTTACCAAAAGAAAAAAAAGATTTTTTTCTTTTTTTTAATTCTTAATCGAAGTACAGCATATGGCTTCTTTCCACAGCTCTGAGGTAGATTCGGCGGCATATTTTCCAGATCAGCACATCCATTTCAGATCTGTGACACCAGCCAGGCAGCCCGAGTCAATGAATCTGAAAGCCTCAAAGAGCATGGACCTTGGTAAGTGAGGGTGAGTGACGCCCAGGTGGGAGCCCCAGCCTCCACAGTCTGTCTTCCTGAATTTCCTCCTCTTGTTTCCTCAGCTCCAGCCTGGAGGAGGGGACACTGGTCATCCCATCTTCCTGTCTCCATTCACACACTTAATTGTAATTACCCCTTTTTAAAAGAGAGGTAAATGACATTTTTATAAGGTGGTCCATATAGGTCAGAAAAATAGGATCATTCCTTCAGGATGATCGGGATGCCATCAGCATCGGTAACTCACGGGCCTTCGTGTTTGCACGCTCACTCCTGCCAGTGACTTTGCGGTTCTCATGTACATCCCTGCTGCGGGACCTGGGAAGATAATATGGTTAAATGAGTCCTCTTCCACAGGGTTTCCCATCTCTATGTTCAGTGGATAGAGATGGCAGCAGTGGGGAAGACCTCTCTCTTTAAATGCCCATCTCCAGATCCTGTTAACACTGGAGGGGAGAGGGGTCCTGGACGTTGCCAGATGGAGGGTGTCGAGGTACCCTGGGTCCATGTCTGAATGACCTCATTGAGGTCCTGAGCTCTGCAGGGAATTTCTGGGTGACTGTTGGCTGCTAGGGCAGAGTGAGTGTCCCTGGAAATGGTGTCCTCCAGGTCCTAGGATGTGGGACCCCAGAAGACATCTCAGACACCCAAGCACATCTCTGTGTTCTCAGGGGCTATTGGAGAGAGGACTGTGAGAGGGCTGCCAGTGCAAAATAAAGCCTCAGCAACTATCCATTGCTGCTGGGTGCTCACAGGCCGTGCTTTGCAAATGTTTTCACTTGAGACGTGTTGCATATTTCATTAGTTAGCAACAAGAATATAGAATAATCAAAACCACGTGCTCCACGAAACAATCTGATAAGTAGTACTTATCTCTTACTCATTTACGGGAGTTCAGAAAAATGTTCAATCATGATGAAACAAGAGAAATTGATTCTAGTTTCTATAAATTAACTAAAGCGCTAGGATACATTTGCTCCGGTCACCTATAGCAAGAGGGGGATGGAAAGCCTGAACACAGGTCAGAAAAGGGGATTTTCTCCAGCGTGAACCTTTACAAACCGGAGGAATCATGTGGATATTGACCTAGGTTATTACTAATAATTTGAGGAGCAACTGATTTTTATAAAGTGCTTTATAAACATCTTTTATTCCATCTTTCCAATTACTCTATGAGGAAAATGAATACATAAAAATATGTTTTAATTTGGGGCAAGTTTATATTACTATTTTCCTAGTTTAATTAAAACAAAAAAGTGACCAGCAGTACAATTCCAGAAAAATCTCTTCAAGGGGTGGGGGGGAAGGCGCCCATTTTAAGAAAGAAAAACTATCATCAAATCTGTAAAAATAAAACCTAAGCTGTATCCACAAACAGTATTTCCATTTATATTTTTTGTTACTGGAAACTTTGTTTTTGAGAAGTTTTCTTTTTTTTATATTGAAATAGCCCTTCCAAAATATATGTAGCTGGCAGTCACTCATTGCGTTCTATTGGACTTCTACCATAAACAACCATAGTAATGTTTGTTCAGTTTACCTCAGTTTACCTCACTGGGTAGATGTCGCAAGCTGTTTTCTTTAGGACACAGGTGCCAAAGCTGTGGCTTAAATGTACCAGACAGCAGAAGTGGTAAAATACAATAAACATTTTATACACCACCAAATTTCCGTCTCTTCCAGGAAATGCCAGCATAAAGCTAACAGGCTGGTAGAGGACAACATTCTAGAGCCGTTCAGAACCCTGTCCCCAAAACAATTGAGGGAGCTCAATAAACATGTTGATTTTCTCTGCGCAGAAGCTCAGATGATACCAGATGGTAAACATTTGGAAGTGTCTTTCCTGTTTGGTTAGGTGAAACGATTATTGTTAAGTTTTATTTTCTATAAATAGCGGTGGGCCAACCTAAGGAATTATTATATTGTCTAAAAAGGGTGGTGGGTAGGCTTATAAGGATAGCAAGGTCAGGATCCAATCTTTAAAAAGTAAAAAAGAATCAATCATCCATCCATCCATCCATTGATAGGTATTTCGGCCAAATATCAAAGTAATGTTTTTGACTTCTTGGGGGCCTGGAAAAATAGTGGTTTCCTAAGGTTCAAAATTTAAAAAGGTAAAATATTTTGTTTATCTAGCCCTTTATGTTGGATAGTTCTCCTTTCCAAAGTCTGCAGGAGTCTTCGAAGGCTAACTGCCCCATTAGTACCTTTGTTTTTGTTTTAATTTTGTTGCGAGTCTAGGCTAGCATTTTCACTTGCATATTATGTTCAAATTATTTTATAGGTGAGTGAGTAACATTTGCTTGATTGCACTTAAGTTTCAAAAGATAGACAGCTCTTGTGAGAAAAAAAGTCTTCTCATCCCCAGATACAATCGTGACTTAAAAGGGATGCCCGGGTGGCTCAGTCGGTTAAGTGCCTGCCTTTGGCTGGGGTCATAATCCCAGGGACCTGGATCAAGTCCCACATCGGGCTCCCTGCTCCACAGGGAGTCTGCTTCTCCCTCTCCCTCTGCCCCTCCCCACTACTTATACTCTTTCTCTGTCTCTCTCACATTAATGCATAAAATCTTAAAGAAAGAAAGGAAAAGAAAGAAAACATTACAAACATGATTTAAAAATAGTTTGCTATGTAAATGTAGTGGTCTATTTGCTGCACCCTCTGTGTACCTGTGTCTCTTTCGTGTGTTGTGTTTTATAACAGTGGTACAGTTTTATGTGAATGAATCTGGATTTATAATTTACTTTTCCCCTTTTGACTGAATTTGGGACTGAGAGTTTAGGGTATTCTTTGGTTTTGGCTTTGTTTTGTTTTGTTTTTTACCCCCAGGGGATCCATTTGTATTTCACATCTTATGATTGGCTGAGGTATATCCTTTGCCAAAAATGTTTCCACTTCTTAATTCTAAATGTTGTTATGGGGTCACCTGGGTAGCTCAGTCAGTTAAACATCCACCTCTTGGTTTTGGCTCAGGTCATGATCTCATGGATTGTGAGATCTAGGTGGCCTAGGTCAGGCTTTCCACTCAGTAGGGAGTCTGAAGATTCTCTTCCTCTGCTCCTCCCCGGACAACTGAGTGCAGGCACGCGTGCGTACATCGTGTGCACCCTCTCGCTCAAATAATCTTTTTGTAAATAGAATGTTATGTACACTGCAGAGAATTTCTTGAGATCCATTATTTGTCATCTTAGTTTGATTATGATATCCTTTACTATGAAGAAGATTTTAGTTTCATAGTAAAAAAATTTCCATCTTTTCCTTCATGACTTCTGGGTTCTATACTTATCACATTATTTTCTTCTAGTACCTTTGAAGGCTTTTTTTCTTCTAATATTAACCAATCTGTAATATATTTATCCATGATGTGTGAGGTGGAAAAATGTTTATGCATGACAATAAATGTCACGACTTTTACATTTATTGACATTTACATCCTTTCCCCTTTAAAGCAGAATGCATTAACATTGAATATTAAGTTTCCTTACATACACGGTCACTTTCTAGACATAGTCTATTGACACATTTGTCTCTTCCATGCCAATGTCACCTTGTTTATATTATTAATGTGCTATTACACTATATTTTGATAACTTACAGGAAAAATTTTGTCTGATTTTTCTTCTTTTGTAAAATCACTGTGGGTCTTACATACATACTCTTCCACATGAACTTCAGAACAGCTTATCAGAATGAATTTAAAGATTAAACGAGAATGTTTCCATGGGGTGTGTGCATTAACTATAACTTCACTGATTTTTTTTTTTTTTTGCCATTTAGCTGATTTAATGAGTCAGAAATTGCCCACTTAGAAAAATTTTAAAACAGTGTATGATTTACAGATGGTTCTTGATAGAAGAAATGTTTTTATCAAGCTACATAAATGTCCTTATATTCCTCGCTTCTTTTTTTTTTTAAAGCTTAGAGTCATCCCAGACTCCTGTCATTCTTTCTTTTTTTTTTTTAATAAAGATTTTATTTATTTATTTGACACCCAGAAATCACAAGTAGGCAGAAAGGCAGGCAGTGAGAGAGGAAGGGAAGTAGGCTCCCTGCTGAGCAGAGAGCCAGGTGCAGGGCTTGATCCCAGGACTCTGGGATCATGACCTGAGCCAAAGGCAGAGGCTTAACCCACTGAGCCACCCAGGCACCCCATATTCCTAGCTTCTTAAAAGAGTTTATTTTAAGAGTTTTTTTAAGAGTTTTTTATTTAAGAGTTTATTTACTCAGTTTAATCAAATGTTGAATTTTATCAAGTGAGTTTTAAGGATCTATACAGAATGACCATGTGTATTTTGTTATTAATATAATGAGTTATGGTGATAGATTTCCACAACAGTTAATCTTTGTTTTTTCTGGATGACTATAAATTTTTCTTCGACTCAAAAAAGGTAGAAATGTACAGTGCATTATCTATGTGCTCTAAAAGCAGGTATAAAACTTTGATTACAATTTAACTCAATCCCATTAATTCCTATGTATCCATTTTAGATTTTCTTTTTTTTGAAGCTCTTCTGCCTCAATATTTTGTGAATACTTTTGCTGGAATGCATGTGTCCACCTTTAAGACAGATCAGAAATGATTAAAATGATGAAAAAAAGGAAATTTATTTTTAAATAATTGGATGTAACTATGCTGATTCAAAGGGGTTAGGGTGTCATTTTCTGGGTTTTCCAGAAAATCAATCTTTTCCTACTAATTGTAGACTTTCCTCTATTTATTTAAATTACCAGAATTACTATGTTCAGTCTGGATCCCTTTAATTTGCTCATAATTGAGCTTGTGTGGGTGTTGAGTTGGAAGCTCTCAGGAGCTGAATAACACAGCTGCCTCTTTGGCCTTTGGCATAGGGTTTCCCCCCAAAGAGCTGCCCTTCTGGCAGTATGCCAGAGAGTTACATTCAAAGACTTTTTGATGAGACATAAACATCTTTAATTTCCAAGCCTGGTGTTTTATGACCTCATTAATACTACTTAAGAATTAA